GGCCTCCCGGGGTCCTAGACGAAGTTCCACCCACCGCCCCATCCCACCCCGCAAGCAAGCCCACCCCCGCCGTCTGGTTCTGCTCCCTCCACGTGGACTTCATCTGACCCTGAGCTCTGGTCTTACCTGACTGCCACTTCAGAGCGTCCGACGTACCAGTGCCACTCACCTGATGGACTTGCCCGCCTCGATGCCCCGGAGACCCGGGGACACCCCCATGGGCGGCCGAACTGAGCGGGCAACCCTCCCCTCCCAGCACGGACACTGGACACTGGGGCCTCAAGCTCCCGCTGAGGGAGGGGACCCGAGAGAGACTGAGAAGGCGCCGGACGCCCTGCCTCCTGTGCCAGGGAGCCAAGGGTGCTCCGACCAGACCCCTGCTTTCCGCCACGGGGAGGAGACTTTTCCTCGCTCTTTCCCACCCCCACCTTTTCTCATCCCCAAAGTAAAGCTATCAAAAGATTATCTGACTTTGTGGTTTGTTCTAAAAGGTGGGGCAGGGAGGAGGTGGAGGGGCAGGGAGGAGGTGGAGGGGCAGGGAGGAGGAGGAAGAGGAGGAGGAGGAGGAGGGGCAGGAGAGGGGACAGGTGGGTTGGAGAACGGGTGCTGTGGAGGGGACAAGAGGGGCATGGCGGGTGGGGCAGTGCAGGCCCACTAGGGGACCTTGGAAGGGGTCACCTTCAAGACTCCAGAGTCTTCCCTCCCCCACCAGAAAGCCACCCAACTCCCATGAGGACACGGACGCTCCTCCCCCACAAGCTCATCCCCAGGGGGGCCTTCAAGGATGATGAACCTGGGTGTTGGGAGCAAGCCGGGCTCCAAGGGCCAGGACCCCAACGCCCTCTGCCCAAGGCTTCTTGTCACATGGGAGATGGCGTGGGAGGCTGCTCTCCACGTCTGGCCTCCAGAGATCCCCACACCCTACTCCTGTGGAAAAGGCCTGGGCCCCGGGACCCCTACCCTAAAAGTGGCCGAATGGCTGCTACAAGTGTGATGCCCTGGAAGTGGAAGGGGTCCCCGAGAGAGCCAAGGAAGCTGGGAGGGTGACACCCACTGTCTGCGGCCACCACTCCACAGTCCAGCACACGCTCACCCCTGCCTGGCCACGTCGCCCACCCATGACCTCTGACCTCCCAGAGTGTGCCCAGCCCACCTCCCCTCCCCACAGACAATGAGTCTGGCACGACCTCACACGCCAGACACTCTAGCCCACCCCGGGGATCTGTCTCTGACTCTGCCCCAACACCCCGCAACAGGAGCAGAGCTTGTGACCCCCAGTGGCAGGCCTAGGGATCCCAGTCACACCCTGACCCATCCTGCCTCACCCACGTCTACCAGGACTCACTGGAACCTCGCTGCGCCCTCCCAGGCCTGGCTGCCGCCCGCCACCCACTCAGCTATCTGGAGTCTCTACCCCTGACAGCGTCACCCAGAGATCACGGTCAGGTCTCCAGGCTTGAGGTCGGGGGCTCAGCTTCACCTCAGAGATTCTCCCAGCCACTTCAGGAAGTTGCCAGGAGCCCCCGCTAGACCTGCAGGATGACCCCTCCCAAACTATCTGTCCCTCAGACCCACGAGGACTGCTTTCAGAATTCAAAATGGTCACCAATAAGTGGTGCAAGCAGCCAGTAGGAGTTCTGACTCTCCCCACCCACCGGGACCTTCTAATGCCACTTAGAAAAGAATTCGGGGACATCAAGGCCCAGGCAGGACGACAGACAAGTGAGGATGGAGCCGGGGCTAGGGCGGGAGGTATGGTCCCAGCACTGAGCCAACAACATGGGTGCCCTGGAGGCCACTCCCGGCGACCGCAAGGGCCGGATTTAAAGGCAGACCTGGGTCCCCGAGGCGGAGGGTCTTCCCCTGGGGGAGGGGAATGAGCTGTGACCTGTGAGGACCCCCTGCCTTACCAGCTGAGCCACAGAAGGCGGAAGAGCAAATGAGCTCCCAAACTAAACCCAGCAGTGGTCACCAAACAACCATTGTAGCCTGCAGGAGAGCAGACACGCCCAAGGCGGGCATGATCACCCACCGAGCACGCACGCATGCACGCACGCACCCCAAGCCTGCCAACACACCTGCCCCCCGTGCCACCGTCACCCCAGCCATCGGAAGGGGCGTCCCCAGACCCAGAGGACGCCTGACCAAGTACAAACACCAGGTTAGGGGCTCCTATTGTCCTGGGGAGAAAGAGTTTTTTAAAGACACAATACAAACCTTATTTGAGTCCTGAAAAAAAGGGGGGAGGGGAGAAGTTGACATTGAAGGACAAGCAAGGACCGCACAGCCCCCACCCGTCCGAGAGCAGCAGCACAGCCTCCGCTGGTTGCTCTGACCAGCAGGCTGCCGGCACGCAGGCGCCCGCACGTGGCACTGCCCCCTCCACCGCCGTGGGGACACCTGAGTGCCCCACCCGAGCCACTGACACCTGGCCAGCTCTGCCAGCGCCCAGGAGACCCCCGGCAGTGCCACTTGTCATCGCCCCTGGCCAGCCCTCCCTCTCACTCACCCCCTCCTCATAACCCGAAAGCCCCCTTGCCCAGGCTGGGCACACACGGAGTTCTTCCTGCAACTCACGGTGCCAGAACTGGCCTGCAGCCACGGGCCACTCCTCGTCCACCCAGAAGTGCACGTCTGTCCGCAGTGGGTTGGATAAGGGGACCCTGACACAGGACCGTGGCAGGAGCCTTCCTTGCCAGACCCCAAGAATTGGCCCAGGGCAGAGGCGGGAGGACCCTCTGCGCCCACCCAGGGACCCTGGCCTGCTCCCAGAGGGAGAAGTGAACGACAGCGTGGAAACTGTCACCCAACCCCACTCCCACCCACCCCTTGCCTGTGGCTGCAGCTGGCCCCTGGCCACGCTTGGCAGGCCCCACGCGTATCACACGTGACCTCAGCCCCAATGACCCGGCCTGATCCGGACTGTGCACCCCGAGAGAGCGCCCCTGAGAGGGTGGGAGGAGGGGCAGGGACGGCCGGGGGGTGCAGGATCCCTCTCACACCCCCCAATGGCTCCACGCATCAGGAAACGCCACCCCACCCAGTGCCCCTCTGTGCCCGGGCTGGCTGCCATGGCTGGTTATGCAGATAGTGAGGCCAGGGTCCCCTCTGCCATGCAGGGTCTGAGTGGGAGGGGGAGGCAGGAGACAGGGGTCTCGGTGTCGGCCTGGGCAGGGCGCAAGAGGGAGAAGGAAGGGGGCGCTGGCTGACAGCTGCTGGGGGCCCGGGGCCAGGGCTACGGGGAAGACGAGGAGTCTCTGGAAGGAGAGAGCAAGAGGCCGCCTATGAGGGGCCTCAGCCTCCTGGTCATGAAAAACTCCTGGGTAGAGGCAGAGACCCCTCAAGGAGACCCTCCTCAGGGACACCGCCAAGGGTGGTTCTGCCCCGCCCCCGTCCTGGAGCAAGGGGATCACGTGGCCCATGTCTGCCCACTGTCCTGGGAGCCTGGTCCCCTCCGGGGGGCGGAACACCCCTTCAGTGGGAGGAGCCCAGTGTGGCCGGCTCTGCCTCTGGTGGATCTACCATGGCCCAGAGTTCTAGGGTGACCCTGGGCCCAGCCTTCTCTCCAAACAGGGGACCTTGGGGATGGCCCAGCCCCAGGCCCACCCCTGCAGGACTTTGGGGGGCTGCGGGAAGGAGGGAGAGGAGGGGAGAGAGAGCCAGCCCAGAGAGCATGCTGGGACAGCAGCAGGCTGGAGGACAGTCCCGTGCAGCCGAGGGTGCAGAGGAGGGTCCGGGGGCTGCTCGTGGTTGAAGGGGGTGGAGAAAGGCATCATATAGGAGCTGAATAACTGTGCAATCAACTCCTGTATGAAGCCGTTCCCACCCCCCAACTACCGACTATGGGCCGCGACCCTCCTCCCGAAGCCCAGGAAAGCGCCCAGGAGGCAGGTGGGAGGCCTGCTTCGAGTGGTTAGAGCAGCGACAGGAAGGGACAGCCAGCCTGGGCACGGGCACCGCCGCCCCCCCCCCCCCCGCTTCGTCCCCTCGGGACCTGAGCCCGGGGACTGTGGAGCCAGGGCAGCCACGAGGGCAGAGAGGGCACGGGGGACGCCGTGGGGGCTGCGTCTTCTCCCCGCCCGCCCGGCCTCGCCGCGGCCTCTGCACGGGGACCTGGCAGGAAGTCCACTTCCCAGGCGGCAGGGACACCTGGGCTTGCAAGGGGCGGGGCAGGGGCAGCCACCGGCTCCCCGGCTCCTTTCAGAGTGACGAGAATGACCTCACGTGGGCTGCGGCGGCGTGGCACACACCCACGCATGCGCACCTGAGCGGGCGGATCTCAGGGGCGCGGACTGTGGTTCCATGCAGTGCCGCCCCCAAAGACCTTCTCCGTCCCGCAGCTTCCTCAGTCAACGCACCCTCCCACCGCACCCTGCACTCCCAGTGCCCCACATCACACCCACAGGGGCCGGCACTGGGGAGGGGCCGACAAGCATCTGGGAATGGAGACTGGCCAGGGCCCCCGGAGAGGCTGGCAGGCGGAGAGGAAGGACGGTGCCCAGTGGCCCCGGGGGAGGGGCTCGGCCGCCTGGACCCGCTGAGAGGGCTCCAGGAACCCGAGCAGACTCAGCGTGGCACACGTGGCAGGGCTCCATAGGAGACAGCAAGAGGAAGGTGCCCTGTGTGGCGTGGCCAGGTGCGGGGCTCCCCGGACCACCAGGAGAGCTCGCTGTGACACAGGGGGTGCCACCTGAGTGGAAGAGCGTCTTGTGTCCCTGGGACACGTGAGCTGCTGGGACACAGAGGCGGGATGAGGCCTAGGGGAGCCACGAGGTCTCGGGGCCACGTGAGTGG